GAGTAACATTGCCAATGCCAAGCTTCGCTAGTGCAAATGCCTTGCTTCGCTAAATGGGCAATGTTCACCCATCCATGCCTGCCAAGCCGCTACTTTCATAGTTTATCCCAAGTAATTCCCATGAGCTTAGATTCATGGGCTTGTGTTCATCTACAATGACAACAAGGCACATGTGAATACATGTTCAAATATTTAAGTGTAAGAAATATATCAACATATGTAGCGAAGAAGGAAACTCCCTTGTGTATTGAAAGGGACGACGTGTATGGATGTTCATCGTGCCCTTTTGTTTGTTGGCCATGGCAAGTGCTAGCATATCGCTGCTGTACATGGCTGGCATTATGCCAAAGTAAAGAACAAGTGATATTGGTGTATGCTACGATATCATTGTCCTGAGCCAAGCATCGTTGGTCAGTGATACCTACTAACACAGAACATATAGAAAATATGTGTTACGAGTTGGGATTACCGACGACCGATAATTTTGTCCCTCTGTATAGAAGAATGATAATGTGCATAACCGTTGGCCATGTTGTATGAATATTGCAGGGTTAGCCATGAATAGCTTCCCTATAGCTACAGGGACAATAGTAGTTAGCTTTGCCCATGGCTGGAGCATGAATCATGTGGAATCGAAAGAGCATTCCCACTAATTCACCAAGTCGCGAAAGGGTAAATCTCATTAAACTAGAGTCTGCCATAGTGATGAATATGTATAGAGAGAGGTGGAGTTGTCTCCATGGAAGGGGAACGTCAACCGCATCCATAGTCTCCGATACGACAAGGTGTGATATCACTAACAAATATTGACCCTTCTTGCCATACCCACATTGTGATGGTCCTAGTTGTTATTGCCCACCAGGCACTGCACCACCATGCACAGGCGACCACCAAGGGACTACTGGCTGCTACTTGATGGATTTTCATTGTTGGAGGGTAGCCATCTCGTCCGATCGCAAGGTTGCAACTGTTACCGGCCTCACGCTGATTAAACCGAGTTGCATTGACTCTTTGTCCATTTTCGGGAGCCAATGAGATAGAATATGTAGGAGATCTGACCCTTTGTCCATTGCTAGAAGCCAGTGTAATGAAAATATGTAGAAATGTGTAGCCCTTTTGTCCATTATTGGAAGCTAGATGAGATATTAAATCTGGCCCTTTGTCCATCATCGAGAGTTATGTAGATGTGGCCCATTGTCCATCGATGGACACTATGTATATATAGTGGGGTTGACTCTTTATCCATTGCTAGGAGCCACAAGATACAACAGTAAGTATCACTATAGAGGACATGACCATCGAAAATGTCCAGCCATGTTGTTGAAATAGATTTAGCCTTGTCTGGTCATGTATGTAGAGATAGAGGTTGGAATGAGCTGCATCTTGCAATGTTTCTAGCGAAGTGTATAAGTGTTGTTTCTAGCGATGCTGACTCCATTGTAGTAATCAGTAAAAAATAGGAATTGGATGTCCGACGTGGAGAATAAGTGTTGTGCTGATGTGGACCCGCATTTGTCATTGGTTCCATAGATACAAATTCATCCCTCAACAATGTTAATATTTAAAACTTTAGGGACAAAATTACACTAAATAAAACCATTAAGGGACTATATTAACAATTTTCCTTTAATCATCCTCGTAGTCGCAATCTGTTTTGATCCATCACCATAGCCTATAGTTATTAGCAAGCCAATAAATGGTACCCTACAACATAATCCCTAAGATAACTTGAAAATCAACCTCCCATATCTACAACCTTATAAGGCCAAACTCTTAGATTTTATATAGTCCATGTTATGAATTCACTTATTCCATTCTCAAAACTTTAAGCACAAATTCACTATTAATCTTATGTTGTACTCAATTACAAATATCATGAATTAAACAATATTTCAAAATTTAGATCTACAGTGACTTGAAGCGAAACCGAACAAACTTTCACATAATATTCTTTAAGGTTATGCTCATATAAGATTGTGTTATAGATCTCTTTAGAATAAAAATTGTGAGTTTATACAAATAAGAAATTATGAACTTTACAATAATATTTAGAGTTCGGTTCTTTCAAAAAGAGCAATCATTGGCAATATGAGTATCACATTCAAGATAAGATCACATGCTGCCACATCAAAGTAAAGCAATTTTAATCACCAAAAAACAAAACAATGGCAGCAGAATGACTTCAGCGGAATTACAAAGCAAACAATCCATCATATGTTGTTGATTGGATTCAACGGAAAATTAATTAAACCAAATCAAATATTTAATTGATTTCATGGTTCTTAAATCTAACTTGTGTGGCTCTAATACCATATGTTGAGATTTACTTAATCTCACAAATTAAATTCTAAAACACTAGATCATTCAAATTAGTAATAAATATAATATACAAAATTAATAAATTACGTACTTTAATATCTATAATTAATATATTACTCATGAATTTTCAAAAATCATCATAATTTAGAATCTCATGACAAAACTTGCAAAACAAATATAATTACTTCCTCTTTTTATTTAACTTTTATATAGTAACAACCAATAAGTCATGTCACTTTCTAACTTTACTATTTGTAAAGGTAAGGTATTTTTAATGGGAGAGGGAGGCTACTCCATTATAATAATCTTTTGAATAACCTATTGTTGAGGGATGAATCTGTATGGTGGTAAAACCAATGACATGTGCAGATCCACATCAACAAGGGCCCACAATGCTCATTTCCTACATCAGACGTGCAGTTTCCATTTTTCTACTAATTGCTGCGATGGAATCAACATCGCCAGAAACAACACTCATGCACTTCGTTGGAGACATTGTAGAATGCAACTTACTTCAGCATCTACTTTCACATACATGGTCAGAGATGGCTAGATCTATTTTGGCGACATGGCTGAGCATTTCTTGATGGTCATGTCTTCTACAGCGATGTGCATTGCTGTATCCTATAGCTCCCAACAATGGATAAAGAGCCTGCTTTACTACATGGCTCCCATCAAAGGATAACAATTCAATCTGCATAGCTCCCAACAATAGACAAAGGGCCAGATTTGCTATCTCATTTAGCCTCCAACAATGGACAAAAGGTTACACATTTCTACATATCTTCATGTCACTAGCTGCCGGCAATGGACAAAAGGTCGAATCTCTACATATTCTATCTCACTGGCTCCCGAAAACGGACAAAGACTCAACGCAACTTGGTACGATTAGCGTGAGGCTGATAATAGTTGCAACCCTATGATCAGACGGGATGGCTACCCTCCAACGATAAAAATCTATCAAATAGCGACTGGCGGTCTCTTGTGGTCGCCTGTGCATGGTGGTGCGATGCTCGGCGGGCAACAACAACTAAGACCACCCTCTGACAGTGTGGATATGGTCAGAAGGGCCAACGTTTATCAGTGGTATCACACTTTGTCGTATCGGAGGCCATGGATGCGGTTGGCGTCCCTCTTCCATGGAGACAACTCCACCTTTTTCTATATATATTCATTGCTATGACAGCGTCTAGTTTAATGAGATTTACCCCTTTACGGTTTGGCAAATTGGTGGGAGTTCTCTTTCGATTCCACATAGTTCATGCTCCAGCCATGGACCAAGCTAGCCATTGTTGTCCCTCTGGCTATGGGAAAGCTATGCATGGCTGACCCTACAATACATACATAACATAGCCAGAGGTCATGCACATTGTCACTCTTCTACACAAAGGGACAAAATTACTGATCACCGATAATCCTGACTCATAACACATATTTTCTATGTCTTACGTGTCAGCAGGTATCACCGGCCAGCGAAGGTTGGCTCGGGACAACGATATCATAGTACACACTCATACCACTTATCCTTCATTTTGGTGCAACGCCAACCATGTACAATAATAATATACTGATGCCAAACACAACTAGCAAGCAAATGAGAGCAGGAATATTCATCCACATAGTCCCTTTCAACACATGATAGAGTTTCCTTCTTCATTGCATATGTTTATATATTTCTTATTCTTAAATATCTGAACATATACTCACATGTGCCTTGCTGTTACTACAGATAAACACAAGCTTATGAATCCAAGCTCATGGGGATTATTTGGGATAAACTATGGAAGTAGTGGCTTGGCAGGCCTGGCTAGATGAACAGTGCCTGTCTGGCGAAGCAAGGCACCTGCACTAGCGAAGCAAGGCACCCGCACTAGTGAAGCAAGGCACCCGCAATGCTGCTTGACTTCGCCAGAAAGGGGCTAGGCGGCAAAGACATGGAAATGAACTTGATTCCTAGAATAGTGTCGTTTGATACTAATCGAAGGTTGGAAATCCCGTCAAAAACTAACCAGATATGCTGTCTTGATCACCATCTGCTACTTACAGCCATATTTAATGCAAGGGTGGCTACACAAGTTCCATGGCCTTGGAAACTACTGTAAAATATTACCATTTCCTTGTAGAATCTTCCAAAATCTTGCACAGAGCCTGGGGAACTTACTAAATCCTATGCAGATGTTGTTTTTGCTGGCTGCACTCAAGCACCTCCCCAAAGATGGGATTTCGTATGGCTAGGGACATTGCTAGAAATATACAATTTCCAGTTTTTCGCCAAAACCAGCGAAGCTGCGTTGGAACTATTGGTAATTCATGATGCCACTGTCACAGAGTTGCCAACAATGCTTGGAACCACCGAAAAGTCAAAAACTCATCCCAACTTGTCTACACATCTCTAAGCCATCAACTAGAAATTACAACAATACCACTGCATATATATAAATTATCTGCCCTTGATTTTTTCAAAACAGAGAACATAGAGAGAAACACATGCAGCACAAAAATAGATTTACGCACCTAACTTCAGTCCTTCTTCCTCACTTACCAAAAACTCCCACTTTTCCTCTAAAAATATTTTGTCCTCAACCTATTGCACTGCAACCAAAACCACCCGAAAATCACCATTTTCTATGAGTCTTCAACATTGTAGAACATTTCCCAGTATTGTAGAACATTTTCCAATACTGTCAAATACCACCCAGTATCGTAGAACATTTCCAAACCTACAAGATATTATGGTCGTGAAACAACATGCTGCAGTTTCAGCTTTTGGATAGTTCTTCTTGAGCATCAAATGATCAAGATTGCAAAGTTAGCATAAAAAACAGGATCAAGTGCTCCATTCGTAAGCTCCCAAGCGGTCATCCTTCATTCTCCCATCACCACTTTCAAGTTTATCCTTTTGCCTTTGGAAGTATCTCAAGGGTGAAGTTGCTGCACTTTTCATTTTCAATATGAGAATTGTTCGTTATAGAGTAAAGATATACACTAGAGATGAAGGAGGTCACATTTATTGCCATTATTATCATGTTACAATGATTTACGTATGAATGTGATCCTCAAGTTGTAATATTTGAATCACATGTATTTGTCATCTTTGCTACCCCTCCATAACAACATACAACCTCCATCCATAATGTTTTTGGGATTTGTGTAATCATCTTGAATCCTTGGAATCCTGCCATTGCTGCCCAACTCCATTGGCTTGGCTGGAAGATTTATCCTTTCAAAAGCTTTGCTGGAGAGTTCACTGCAAGACATCATTGCCCAGCAAAGTGGGATGGCCTGTAGCATGTAGCTCTCCACACATGAGATGGGTGCCGCCGAAAGAACCCCCCTCATTTTCTTGGGTGTCATCCTAGTCAGCTTCCACGTCATCACCGCAACTGACTCATCCACCTTCACCAACACCCCCGAACACCTATCAAGCAACTCATTTTTAATTTCAAGTCATACACTTATTCATATCACATTATAGAAAACTAAAACAAAACCTAAATCCACTTAAATTATATAACTTAATTAGATTTTATCAATTTTTTCATTTAAGTCAATTAAAAAGAAAAAACCAAATACAATTAGTGAAACCCACATAAAATTTCCAATAGCACTTTCATTGCAATCATCACAAGCTTCGGAGTTGCTTCTTCTTTCGCCATATCTGAAAGTTGAGGATAAGGAATCACTCTTCGCCACTTTGTCCATTCATAATAGAAAATGGGAGTCGTTATTGCCATGCAACCATTTTTTTATATATATTTATATTTATATAATATCTAGTTGACGGGTATTATGACTTCTTTATGATTGTGAAATTCAAAATTAATAAAATTATTTTTTTTATAAAAAATATTATATAATATTAATTATTAAATAAAATTAATCTCATTAATCTTTAGAGCCTCTTTTAATAATTTTTATTTTATAATATGATATACTTTAAACTATAAAATATAATTTTGTTTTACAATAATATATAAAAATAAGATTATCTTGGACACGAATTTTATTAGACTATATAAAACTAATCATAAGGAGTAAGGATGACCGTCCTCTAGTGGGAACTCTTATAGATAGACATGGTAATTTTTTACTCAACCCGTTAACCCGCCCATTACCCGTCCGTTAAGAGAACCCAACGGGTCACGGGTCAATAACGGGTTGACCCATCGGGTTAACGGGTTTGATCCAATTACCTATTTAAAAATATAAAATTTTTTAATTTATTATTTATTTATTTTGTTTTC